CCTGTTTCCTCCTTTAGTTTCTTTGACTTTTGGACCAGGTGTGTGGGTTTACTTCCATAAGAAGGGCCACGCTACTGCAGGATATCCACCCCACCAATTCCAGAGGCAAGAACTGATACGGGTTTCAGTCTTGCTTGTAGGTTCCATCCTGCTCTTGATATGCCCCACTTTATATTCATCTTCTCTTTCTGACTACTTGCCCTGTGGTGTTCAATTCCAGCATCAGACACAAAGGCAACAGCCTTACAGAGAGTACTACCCAGCTTCCACAACTTCAGAAGGCCAAATTCTTGTAATAAAATCCATGTATATATGCATGTGTGTATGTATAAAAAAAAAATCAAACCAGTTGCTGTCAAGTCAATTTTAACTCACAGCGACCCTGTACATGTCTATGTATGGTATATATGTATATGTATAAAAAACCCATTGCCATTGAGTCGATTCCAACTCATAGCGACCCTATAGGACAGAGTAGAACTGTCCCACAGAGTTTCCAAGGAGCGGCTGGTGGATTCGAACTGCTGACCTTTTGGTTAGCAACCAAGCTCTTAACCACTCCACCATGGCACCATGTATACGTATACATATATGAGATATATATATATATATATCTCCTAGTGGTTCAACTTCTGTGATTAAACTCTGACAGATATAATATGCTAAGAGAAGAAACTATTGTCTTGACATCTGGCATTTAATATAGTCTAGATATTTTGGAATTTTAGAGTAATTATGTTTAAGAGAGATTTTAAGTTCTCTCTCTCATTTTTAAAAGTTATTTCAATAATTAAAGCTACTGAATAATTGCAAATAGAAAAAAATTCTCCACAAATTATTTCTTAGATCAAAAGATGCATAATGTCAGGTATGGTGAAACCCAGTATTTCTGATATCACAGTCTACATCCATTTCCTATTTCCTTAGGGATTGAGAAAGGAGAGATATAGCAGGGGAATCATACCTCCTTGGAAGACTTCATCCTTGAAGGGCTCTTTGATGACTCTCTCACCCACCTTTTTCTTTTCTCCTTGACCATAGTGGTTTTCCTTATTGCAGTGAGTGCCAACACCGTCACCATTCCCCTCATCTGTGCTGATCCTTGGCTTCACATGACGATGTATTTCCTGCTCAGCCAGCTGTCCCTCATGGACCTGATGCATGTCTCCACTACTATCCCCAAGATGGCTACCAACTACCTATCTGGCAAGAAATCCATCTCCTTCGTGGGCTGTGCAACCCAGCACTTCCTCTATTTATCTGTGGGCAGTGCTGAGTGTCTTCTTCTAGCTCTCATGTCCTATGATTGCTATGTTGCCATCTGTCATCCACTGCGTTATACTGTTCTCATGAACAGAAAGTTGGGAGTGATGATGGCTGTCATATCATGGTTGGAAGCATCCATGAACTCCCTAATTCACACAGTGATTTTGATGCACTTGCCTTTCTGTGGGC